GAGCATGGGAAGAAGAAATCTTAATTTGTTATCTTAAATCACTAAGAGTTGGACATTGTTACAGAAGCATGCCCTAGATCCTTCTGTCACCAGGGGGAATTTTATGTAAACATGCCTGACATATTTCAACCAAAGTTAAAAACTGATGTTGGGAATTAATCAGAGTTTAAAATATATTTTTTTTTCAGTTCCTGCATAGCCCTCAATTAAGAATATTGTAAGGTTTGGTGTTAAGACTTCATCCTCCCAGAAAATCTGGACTGGGCTACACCAACATTTACCACTCTGAATCTTCTTCCTACATCTTTATCAATAACCAGACCAATTTCTAATTATAATAGTTTCCAATGGTTGTTGTTTTCATTTTAAAAGTCACATCATGAGCTATTTAGCAAATGAACAATTTATAATCCTATGAACCAAAATCTAAAAGACCTGCTTCCTCTCCTCTACCACCCACTCCCTAGAGTTAGCAGTATACACGCACCACTGTAGGCATGTGCCCTGAGGTTCAAAGTACAAATGGAATCCCAGTCTTCATACTCTTCCGTACTCTGCCTTTGCGTGTAGCTTGTCAGCCATTGTTTTGTGTCCATGTGCATTGGCTTACCTGCTTCTTTTTTAATGACTGGAGCATTCTGCTTAAGAGATTTACCGTACTCACTGACCCGGTTACTTAATGTTAGGTAGTTTGTTCCCTAGTCTTTTGTTATTATTAGTAATTTTATGATAACCATCCCTATAAGATAGATCTTCTAAACATTTGTATGAGTTAAACCAGAAGAAAAAATCTTAGGATTTGAGTTCTGTACTGAAAGAAATTTTCAGTTTAAATGCCAGTAAGCACAAACTCTTCTCTCCAAAAGATTAAATCAATTATATTCCCACTTATGTCAACAAAGTATAAAATTAAAAAAAAAAATCTATCCTTCAAAATCCTAGCATAGAGGTGGGACATGCATAAGAAGCCCCAACATAGCTGAGGAACTACTGACAGTTGATAGCTGCTGGGAGAGGGAGAGTCTGTTTTCTTTAAGGCTGCAATGCTGAGCAGGTTAACCAGGCTCCAGTGAGCCAACCCACACCAAAAGGCATTTGCCTTTTGGCAAATTAGACTTGATAGGCATTTATATATGGGGGGGTGTGCAATCAGGTAGCGAAGTAGGAGAGGTGCAGATAGGGAGAAAGTGTCTGAAAACAATGAAAATATACTGTGTGAAATCCTCAAAAATTCCATTAAAGAAATCTGTTCTTCTTGTAATGCTAATTACTCTTGCCTTTACTTCTCCTTCATATCTCCGATTCACAATTCAGACTTTCTTTTCTCCTTAGAGATAAGAGTTATGCAATTTGGGAGTCTTTTAGATAGACCCACTGAAGGGGTACTCCAATTGCCTCACCCTGCAT